CAATATCTAAATACACAGCTTGATTATATAAAAAAACCCAAAGAATTCAATTTTGGGTTTAAATCAAACTTAAATTAAATTTGGACCCTTTGGACCTGAATGTGAACCAATTCGAAAACAGAAATACACAAACATGGTAACAGATTCAGCATATTAAAGAACCCAAAGAATACATGCTTCTCATCAAAATTGAAATTGGTCAAGAAACAAATAATGTATACAAAGTATTGGTTTTTGTTTGGTCCCTAATTCATAAACAGTTTGGGCCATAATCACCAAAATCAATTCCAACTTTCCCTTTTTGGTTTGAAATCTTGTATAATAATTTCATAGAAATCCATGGATTTATTCTCAAGTTATGGTCTGGAAACCCCGGAAAATCTTTTTTTTTAACCTTTAATCCTAAACTGTTAGGGCAATAACCCCAAATTCAATTCATACCTTCCTTTTGTGGTATGGGACCTTGTGGTTTTATTTCTTTGAGATCTATACACTTATACTCAAGTTATTGTCTGGAAAACATATGTCTACAGACCACAATGACCACATATCCACACCATTATAAAATGGCAAAAGTTTTGCAGTCTATAAAAACTTAATGTTGACCACACTTCAAAAAAAGGCCAAGGTCAGATGTATCTCATCAGACAATCATATTCACATTACAATCATTCTGTACACCATACATTGTTGATCTAGAGAATCTGACCGAGAACAGACCAAATCATGGAACCTAAATGATGACCAAATGGTGCAGGATAAGCCACTCAAATTAACAAATTTTTCGTAAACCTTTTTCTTATCCCAATCCATGCAATGTGATACAAAATATATCTCTTCATGTGAGAAATAGATCACAGGCAATAACCATAAAAAAATTAATTGTCCTTATTATACATAAAAACTGTCAAATTAATATGAAAACAAATAGTGTACACATACCTTTAAAAATGGAATCAAGATAATGTTCATATGCCAGATTAAACCAGACCATAAGGCAACTGCATACAAGATATGGATTAACTCATTCTTCTTCAGTCTGGATTATGAAGTTTTATATCAGGAGCATCCACTGCTAGATCTGTATCCCTGTGTTTTGTATCTGATGAGCTATTATATAAACTAGATCATTTTAGAATTCTAGATCTATTTATAGACTTGGCAGCCAATCAGATAATCAGCAAGTCTAATAAACATTTCTGTCATGTAATTCCTAAGTATCATTTGTGTCAAGTCTTGTTTAAACTAGCAAAGAAGTTTCTGTGACATTTAAAACTCAAAACATGATGTTGAAAGATACCAAGAGATGGAAATATAAACTGTTGACACAGAGATATGTCTTGCGTTTTTTGGTGGTATAATGCAAATGTTGAAATTAAATTGCAATATTTAAACTTGTTATCTATGCAATGAACCATGACTGACGGTTCAGGGCAAAATAAAAACACCATGGAAATGCTAATGCTTATAAAACTGCATACCCAACACCATTGACTTACCAATTGGTTCCTTGTTAAACTGTGAAAGTTTCAAAGTCCATGAACCATGATAAGGAAGTGGGACCAAATAATCTGAAAATGAGACTTGCAAATGCCAATACAACTGCATACCAAATATCAGATATTAGTCACTCATCTTAAACTGATCTTATCACAAATCACATGTAAATAATGCAAAACATTCAGTCAATAAACCATGACTGAGGCTGGAGCTGAACAATCTCTATAGAACTGAAGATTTGTCAATGCTTATACATCTGTATACCGAATATCATTGACATACCACTTATAGTTCCCTTTCAATTGACCTAATCACAAACTTATACATGTAAACTAATTAAAAGTTTTAAGTCGACTATGACTGAGGGAGAGAAGCAAAATAATCTCCTTAGAAATAAGATGTTTCAATGCTTATATAACTGCATACCAAATATCATTGACCTACCACTAGTTGTTTTCTTTAACTTGAACTTATCACAATCAAATACATTGTTGAAGCTGCTGCTTATGGAAAAAGCATGCCCAGTCTCGCTTTTTCATCTTCGTCCATACCATACAATAAATCAGCTGTGTGTTACGCTTGACCGCAAAACCTCTTCCCCCTTTATTTGTCATTCAGACTCAAATAAAATATAAGATAGGTTTTCTCAATTAAATTTTTATTTACCTATTTATTTATATCATTATCATGCATCATAATATAAAATACCCAAATGAAACCAGACCCATTCTGCTCCATCAAGTGTGTACAAATACCAAAGAAATTGTAATAATAATAAGTTTTAGTCCCTTTATAAGTAAAAGGAGGAAAAGGATCTGCATCATGGGTAAGGTATCATTGGTTAAATATTACAATTAAACAAAATAACTGACAGCGCTGAGAATTCTTTTTAGCTTCTTGGTACCAGTTCCCAGACTAGCTGTTTAAATAGAATTTAGAAAATCAATTCTGTTCTGAGATACATGTCTTAAATTTTAATATCCTTAGGTCTTAAAGGAATATTTTTTTTGCTCAATATTAAACTTGGTGCTTTCCAATACTTTTAAATACCAAACTTAAAATGAATTAATATAATTCCATAAAATATATGAATCCTCAGTTTGTCACATACGAAGAAGAATTTACAAATATAACAAGGAATACAATGGTAAATACTAAGATAAAAAATGCATAAAAATACATGAATCAAATTCATTTATGAGGTGTACTCAATTTATTTACTGGGTTATTTAAATAAACTAATATCGTGATCTTTGCAAAAATTATTAGATCACCAAGGAAATAGTTAACTGCATTTCATTAAACATTTATAACCCCAAGTTCTTATATTGTATATAAAGTTTCTTTATAATTCCTCCCAATTTCTAACCAAAGTCAATTCTTGATAGTTATTTAACAATACATGTATGATATAAATATTTTTTTTTATTATTTTCTTGGAACCAGAACTTTTTGCCCAGGAAGTAATAAGTAATTATTTCATATAAAATAAAAAGAGGAGATATGATTGCCAATGAGACAACTCTCCACCAGAGACCAAATGACATAGAATTTAACAACTATCAGTCACATACAGCCTTCAACCATGAGCAAAACCCATACCCATAGTCCATATCCTTTAGGAAATGTGCCATAGTAAGCAAGTATATCATCTGTTTGCTCATCTGTCTACAACTTCCAATCACAATTAAAGGATTGAATTGTTTTTGCCTAAACTTTCAAATAATCTTCAGTATCTGTTGGCATTGTGTATATTTTTTTCACATCCAAAGGTTCCCCAATCGAAGAATGGACTTTTCCATTTATAAAATTTTATTACTCATATTGAAGGATAGGTTGGTTCAGCTGATAAGAACATAGATTTAGTTAGAGCAAGATTCTGCATTTATAAATCTTGTAATTTGGTCAATCTTCAACGACCACTTCAATATTTATGTTCATTCATTTTTCTATTTTATCCACTAAGAAGAGTTAAAAGCATAATAAATGTTTGATCTCATTATGTAAATTTATATTTTGAATTGCATGTATAATCAAAATATATAAACTCAATCATTCTAAGGCTTGGTATAACAAGATTTGACAGTAAAAATAAATAAAATCACATAAAAACCACTAAAATCATATAAAACCAGATAAAACACAAATCTTGTTATAGCAAAGCCTTATAAAATTTACATTAAAGCTACAGTGGTTATATATATCAGTGTGAACCCCAAATTTATTTTGAATTTAAGTCATTAAAATTTTTGTCATAATGAGATCCAACTACTAAAAACATGATTAAAAACAAATATATTTGAACCAACCTATCCTTCACATGATAAAATGGTGGTATGAGAAGCTTCTTTCCCTTTTTTTCAAATACTTAGGTCCATTCATTACAATTGAGAACCCCAAAATTTCATTATAATAAAATAAAATACACAAAGCCATTAGATACAGAAGATAATCTGAAAGTTTAAATGAAAACCTTCCAATAGTTTATAAGCTGTGGATGAGAGATGATGATGGACAAACAGACAGATAAATCTTCTTTAATAACCTTTTTATGCTCAACATGAGTGCAGATGGGCATGGGATTTGGTCCTGCCCTGGGTCATATCAAAGAATTGAAAATTGGCATTTGATGCTCCCCTGCTAAGCATTCAGCAATTAGGAGTAGAAGCAAAGACTGGTCAGCTGGAAGTCAGAATACTGTGTTCAGGTAGGGTTAGATGTCTTGTGCAGACTTTTACATTATGAACTAGCACGTCATTAAAAAATCTTGCATTTCTAATTATCCATCCATCCTTCAAAATCAAAACTTCTTTTACAGGATCCTGGTTATACATGTGGAAAAGGGGGGGGGGGGGGTAATTGTTTAGAAGCTGAGTACAAGCCTCAAAAATCAAACATTAAAATATAAATAATCATAAATGAGAAAAAATATAGAAATCAATCACACAAAAATGAGAAAATATGACAAACTGCAAAAACTATGTAATTATTTTCACTTGAGTGGTCTCAGATGCTGAAAAATGCATTTATAATATATAAACAAAACCAATAAATAAAACTGACAGCCATTAATTTGTATGAATGTAAGGAATGCAGAGTCAAAACAAACCATCGAACTAAACATTTTTATTTCTAGTTCATATTGCACCAAAAACTCAGTACTTAAATTGTTTAATAGGGGATTTGTTTTATTCCCTTTTAGTGTTTGGCCATCAAAGTCCTACTTAATAGGTTTCTAACCAGAAAAAATCATTTCACAAAGGACTTATAATTCTTAACCAGTGTACATAACTTAAAAAATATATGTAAACTGAAGCAAGTATCTTGTGAAACCATACATCATACCTTTGGGACCTCTCAAATAACAATAATTTCACAGTTTTTTTTTATATTTCTTCAATCACAAAACAATAATTGAATGCAAGAAAAAATAATGATATAAATATTTATAATTTGAATAATAAAGCATTAAAAATTAATTGCATTTATAATTAATTCTGCTTATAAGACAAATATCTGCTGATTTTTTTACAAAAGATAGCAACAGTTCATCCAATGTTTTGCAGGATTGTAGTCTGAGGATTTTACCATATAAGGAAGGCAGCAACAGCAACTCTTTCGACTGGAAAAGAAACAAAGTTAAATTTCAATTGTTGATTCTTAATTTTAAAATAATCTAACAGGAATAAAGAAACAGACATCAGTGTATGTTAAACAATTTGTTTATTACTTATATTGATTACTCAAAAATATATAGTATCAAAAATATCCGATTTTATTGTTATCTCCCCTTCATATATCTTCTTCAGATCTAGTATCTGCTTAAAAAGGGTACATTTTTTTAAAATGAAAAGATTGAATACTGATTTTTTTTAATTGTAAATTAAAAAATAATATATATATTGAAATCTATTTAGTGACATTCATCACACTATAACATAAACACATTAAAGTTGTATGTTGATGAATAAGTTCTCACCTTATAACAGCTTTATCCCAGCAAGTAACCCAATGGAAACCTGATGCTAACCTGGAATATAAAAGTAGTCAGTTATACTAAACTTTCCAAAAAAAAATTATTACACATGTACTAAATTTAAAATTGCACTAGGATAACAAAAAATCATGGAAAAAATATTTGGTATTCTGAATTATAAACTGAGTTTTATATTTACCAAAAAAATTCAACCGGTATCTCATCAGTGTAAAATTATTTTTTTTGGTACTAAAGAACCTTATGAAATTGATTTCAAATATTATATTACTAAAAAGATGCTTGATTACCTACCAACATGTTAACAATATCAGACATCCAAGTCTTACTCCCAACACCATGAAAACATCATCATTATAAATTAACAACCTAAAAATAAAAAAAATAAAAAGATAATTACTTGTTTTACAGATCAATCTGTCTCTAAGAAGACTAACAAAATAACGCTATGTTTCATTTATTAAAACCTGTTATACATTATCATCTTCACTATATAAACTTTAAACTGCTAGAGATAGAAACTGACCTTGTGCAAGTGCACGTATATGTATGACAATGATTTTGGAATATTCAATTACAAAATCGGATGGTTTTGTTCTCTTTTGATGGTTCTTAAAATCATTCTCATAACAGTGTAGACAACCCCAATACTTATGTTGGTAATAATACTAACTCAATTACTGTAAATTCAGAAACTATTGCAATGTTTTTATTATTGCGAAAAATGCAACATGGTTGTATTAGCAATAATTTAAACTAGCATTTTGAAATTTTTTATATGAATTAAACAGGATTTTTCTCAATATCGCAAAAATTAAAATCGCATTTTAGTCTAAAATTACAAAATCGCAATTAATGAATGGTTATTATTTATTTTGAATTTATTGAACCATAAAATTAATTTTTGACTCTTCGCATTGAATAATCCGAGAAGCAGATTATGTAAAATGTGGAGAGTCAAAAATTAATTTTATGGTTCAATAAATTCAAAATAAATTATAGCCATTCATTATAAATAAATTTCTATCAAAAATAAGGCTCAAAGAACTTTTTATTTTATTTATATTAACCATAACAACATACAGGAATGTTGGCGTATGAATATACGTCGTCAGAGTGGGCGTGTCGCCATAAAAATTGACAACATTGAATATAAAAGTAATTCTTTTAACCAATCAGAAGACAGTAAATACACCAAATTTATTTATTAATAATTGCAAGCAATAATTTCTGAATTTACAGTACCTTTAACTTGTTTGCCATTGGCTATCGATAACAGTGATTTTACGCTCACTCAGTCTGTCAGAGGCCTTCCAAAAGGGATTTATATAGAATAAAAGAGCAAAGTACATGTAGGCACAAGAGAAGAAAAATAGAAAATAATTATTCAACATTTAAATCAACACACAAGGTTAAGTCCTCTGCTAGTAATTCGTACTATTTGATGTAGGCATTTAGAACCTTTGGCCATCCCAGTTTAAATGTCTATAACACATTCAATGTGACAAGTGGGCGTTACAAACTTTCACCTTATCTGACCCAGTCAATAGATAACATAAGAGCGCCAAGAAATCGTCTTGTCCACGCTTTTATGAAAATGATTCTATATCAATTCAATACTCAAACAGTTACAGACTTTGCATAAAAATTTGTTCGACCCAAATAAGTTTACAAATTCATTGATAATAACTTGCATACAGTTGGTTTCTATCCAACACAGCTCACTCGATACCAGACAGAAAACAAATGTAAGACTAGATACTCTAAACATCAAACACTGATAGAAAAGAACCCTTAAAATATAATGTTAAATGCCTATATATATATTATTACCATAAAATTTGTGGAATATATAAACTTACCACATCTTTTTCATGGTAAAGCCTCAGACTTGGTGAAGATTAAATTGGACCATCTCCCTTAGAGCTGCTCTCCCGGCTGACAAGGTGGCTCTCCTCATCATCTTAACATCTTTTCTTTTTAAATATAGTTTTATACATTAAATATATCAGATGTTTTTCCAATAAATCCCCTTTCTTGAAAATTTCAGCAAATCAATTGTTAATGACCCAAGATTTCTCCCACCCTGCATACTTATTATCTAGAGCTCTGCTTACATTGATTTTTTTTTTTATTACAGAGCTCTAAATAATAGTCAATATTAGCTAGTATACATCTGATATTAAAAAAAAATGTACAAACATGATTATCCAAGTAGATGAAAATCCTAACGTTGAGGGAATTTCAAGTATGTGGAGTTAAACAGGGGTAATATAAATTGCCTCCCTTTGACCCAAATTTCACCCTGTTCGGACTCCACATCCTTGTTATATTAAACAAAATAAATAAAATAGTACAATTAAAATTAAAAAATAGATTGATAACAAAAATCTAACACATTTCAATAAAATATTTCGTACTGATCGACTTATGGTGGCAGAGTGGTTATAGCCTATAAGTAGTTCAACTACCATATCACTAGCCTGTCAACACTGAGAACCCCCACATGAAATGTGTAACTTCATTCTTAATTTGACTAGGGTTTGCCCATTTCCCTGACAAAGGTGATGTTTTCACCAGGCACTCTGGCTGTCTCCACAAATAAAAATTTACAGCCAAAATTATAGTAAATCATTTTAAAGTGGTGTTTAACACCAAAAATCAACCAATCCAATTTCAACAAGATGTTCTTCAACCATGCCTTTTGTAAAATTATTCTTTAAAAAATATCACCTTGGTTACAAACCAAAATCAGCTAAAAATGACAAAAAAAGTGCAAAAAATATATTTCTACCTTCTTAACTTCATAAATTCCTCTGCATTAGAGCACCCTTGTCACATATCTAAAAGATATTAAAATTAACATGAAAGAAAAGGTTGTAAGGGGACATATTTACTGCAGACCATTATTCATCTTTTTAGTTTACACTAGAGAGGCATTTGCTATGGTAAGGTATTTTGAAACGTTGCAAAAAAAAAACAAAAATAATTAAAATTTTTGCTAAGAAATTTAGTGGGAATATTCACATCGGCAGATTTAATTGCATTAACTACATGTATAAAGTAACTTGTAAAATTTGAAAGTATCTCAAATCCTAAAATAGCAAAAAGATGGCAAAAATATATACATTACAATTTGCAACAAAAAAAATACATTTCAATAATTGAACATTTTTTTTTCTTTTTTCTTTCTTTTTCTTTTAGATTATCCATTCTTAAACTGCTGGAAGTGTTTTGACTAGACATGAGTATAAACAGAAAATAGAAAGAATTTTTGTAATGTCAAATACAAGTTAACCTACAACTTCCAATCTTGTTGAAAATGGAGAATCTTTACATTTTTTTTCTTTTTTTTTGTAAAAAAATTATAAACATTTTCTCAAGCATACACAAAAATAGTCTGAATTACATTCTTTACTGTTGCAGTTATATCACACAACCATTTTATGCAGCCACAGTTATCTGAAAAAGAAATATACATTACTCATGAACATTGAAATAAAATTTAATGCAAAACAATTACAATTAACTGAGCATTACAATTATAATGTATAGAACATTTCTTTTTCTTTGTTATAAAGTGATTTGTTGATATTAATTTAAAAGTACCAGTATTTCTTAGCAAAAAAAGGATGAAAAGCAAGTCATTGGCTGATGTCTTGACAAATATCTTTTTAACATTGTTTTATAGCTATATATAGTATATCAGGCTATTAACATACTTGATTGAATTTTTTAACATTTAGTCATGTTGAACCTTTATAGCTAACTATACAATATAGGTTTTGCTCATTGTTGAAGGCATAGGGTGACATTTAGTTGCATCCACATCATTTGGTCTCTGGTTGATAGCTGTCTCATTGGCATACATACCACACTTACATATTTTCATATATGGGGACAACTATAGATAACAAAAAAACTGAAATCCCAAGATTTCGCATTATACATTATACTTTTTGACTTCCCTTATATATCTTTATATCTCCTTCTAAATTGTTTTTTCAACTATAAGTAAAGAAGACATTAATATGTAAGATTTACATCTGTGCCTAACAAAAATATTGGGCTTTAAAATGCTCTTGGATGAAGAGTTCATAAATTTTGGTATTGATTCTTACCATTAAAGTCAGCTCAAATGCCCACTCCCAGCTTCAATCCTTACAGACAAGCTGTGATGCTAACCTAAAATATAAAATGATAATTCATTAATAAAACCCTGTAACTCGGAAACGTAAAATCTAAAATTTATAAAAATTGAAAGGGAGCTCATGTCAATAGATATAAACAATTCACCACAATTTCTTGCAAGTTGGTGAAAGCATTCTCGAGTTATTGTCCGAAAACTTGAAAACACCCCTTTTTTTAATGAATAAAACCCCATAACTCGGAACGTAAAATCTAAAATTTATAAAAAACGAAAGGGAGCTCACGTCAATAGATATAAACAATTGACCAAAGTTTTATGCAAATTGGTTAAGGGTTTTTGAGTTAATGTCCGACATGTTGAAGACGGATGGACAGACGGACAACGGTTTACCATAATACGTCCCGTAAACGGGCCTATAAAAACTGTTTAAAAGGTTCTTTGTTGGTATTATGTATGTATATTGAATAGATTGAATGATTGGTTGTTGGTTGCTTAAGGTCCAGTGGCAAATCATTAAATAGAAATAGTCTTAAAATGTGTTATATATGTCAAGAACATATGGATGAGACAGCAATCCAACAAGCCAACACATTTTTATGTAAACAATTCAGATCCTAAACTTTACTCTTATTTGGTTACTGATATAATAATAAGAGTAGATTCCTGTAAAAAATCTATTAAGCGTTCAAATCTTGTTTTTCCATAAAATATTTATAATACATTTGAATTTTCCAAAACAGGACTAACATACTGGTACATACCTTTGTATTAGCTGTATAAGACCACCAAGTCTTATTCCCACACCATGAAAACATGTCTCAGAAAGAACCTGAAATGAAATTATAATCAACACATTATACATTTTGTAAATCAATTTATGTGTTACCGATAACCTAAAATTTACTAAATATTGTTCTGATTTCTTATTGCAGGTAGACAATTGTATAAAATCATTTTTTTTTTTAAACCAATATAAAAGATAGAAAAGTAATAAAACGTTAGATTTAAATTTAACTGCACAAAAAATATCTGAATATTTTACAAAGTTATCTCCCATTGAATGCAAAATCGTGTTTTAAATTGTACTGGTCTTTTCTTGAAGTTAAATGACTATTTTTAAGATTTACTATTGATATTTTAATAGAAAATATTGTTCATGTATCTTGTATCTTTAAATACTAGACTGGTAAATTAATTCATCAATGGTGTTTTAAATGCAATATTTCAGAAGGGTCTGTTATCTTAAAAGATCTGGCTAAAATAAACTTGCCTTTTCTATTTTCATGGTAAAGAGTCAGACTTGGTTGAAGATTTAATTGACCATCTTCCTAAGAGCTGCTATCCTGGCTGACAAGGTGGTTCTTCTCAATATCTTATTGTCAATCTATGTTGTGTCCATTTGTTTTTAGAAAATAAAGTAACATACATAAAAAATATCAGATGCACTTTCAATTAATAAACTTTTTGAAAAATTTCACGTAATTATTTTAAGTGACATAATTTTTCCCAACCTAAATTTCTATTATCTAGAAAACATCCGATATGTAAAAAAAGTGCATAAATGTGAGTATCCAAGTAAATAAAAATCTAACATTGAGGGAATTTCAAGTATTTGAAGTTAAACACAGTATAATAAATAACCTCCCTTTGACCTAAATTTCACCCTGTTAGAACTCCACATCTTTGTTATATATAACAAAAAAATATAAATAGTATAGCGGGAATCAAAATAAAAAAATAATTAAATTACAAAAATTCAACACATTTCAATAACATACTTAGTGCGGATGGAGTAATGGTGGCTGAATGGTCAAAGTAGTACGAGGACTTTATCACTAGCCTGTCAACACTCTGAACCCTCACATTGTATGTTTGTTTAACGACTGTATCACTAGCCTGTCAACACTCTGAACCCTCACATTGTAGGTTTGTTTAACGTCAATCTTAATTGACTAGAGTTGCCAGTTTCTCTGTTGAAGGGGATGTTTTCACCAGGCTGTCTCCACAAATAAAAACTGGCAGCCAAGAAATAGCAAATCATGCTGAAAGTGGTGTTAAATACCAAAAATTAATCAATCTACTTTCATCATGATATTCTTCAACTATGCTTCTTGTAAAATATTCTTAAAATAATATCTTTGTAATAAACTCAGCTAAAAATGACACAAAGGTGAAAAAATATATTACAATTTGCAAAAATAAAAAACATTTCAATAATTGAACATTTTTTCTTTTTCTTTTTTTTTATAGATTCTCCATTCTTAAACTACTGGAAGTGTTTTGCCTAGACATGAGTATGAACAGAAAATAGAAAGTAATTTTTGAAATTTCAAAGACCTATTAACCTACAACTTCCAATCTTGTTGAAAATGGAGAACCTGTACATAATTTTTTTTTTTCTTTTTGTAAAAATTATAAACATTTTCTCAAACATACACAAAATTAGTCTGAATTACATTCTTTACTGTTACAGTAAAATCACATAGCCCTTTTATGCAGCCACAGTTACCTGAAAAAGAAATATACAGAATTAAACGTAATTGTCAAAATCTGAAAATTGAAACAATATCAAATGCAAAATAATAACTAGTCATTATAATCATGATTCATAAAACCTTTCTCTTACTTTTTTTAAAAGTGATTTGCTGATATATTTTTTGAACTACCAGTCTTTATTAGCAGAAAAGGATGAAAAACAAGTAAATGGTAGATGTCTAACATATTTCTTTTTTTACATATTGTTTTTTTTTGTATTGGTTCTTACCATAAAAGTCAGCTCCAATGCCCACTCCCAGCTTCAATCTTTACAGACAAGCTGTGATGCTAACCTGAAAAATAAAATGATAAGTCATTCAAGATTGTTTAAAAGGATCCTTTTTGATATACTGTATGTATATTCCATATTTTGAATGATTCAGTTGATTGTTGGTTGCTAAATGTCCAGTGGCAAATTAAATAAAAGTCTATATATGTAATAGTTGAGAACAGCAAACCAGCATCCCAACAAACTTTTACATAATCAAATCAGATAATTAAATTTACTCTTTTAAAGGCAATTAAAGAAAGCAAAGACTTC